GTGTGTGTGTGTGTGTTTTGGAGTGTTAATTTTAAATTATATTTTCAAACAAATTATGCATAATGTATATTAAATATATTATAAATTTTTATTATATTTGTATATTGTTATTTTTTTTAGCTTTATTCTTTTTTTTTTATATTGATTATTTTTTATGTTTTTCTTTCCCAAATTGATGATATAGTATTTAAATAAAAATAAAGATATCTTTATTTATTGTCAATGAATTATAAAATGATGTTTAAAAATTATTATTTATCATTTATATAACTCTTAATATATCGACATATTGGTGGATATTATGTATATTTAAAAATGAATCATTTGTACCGTTAACAACCAACTCTTTAAATTGCATAGGTTCGTTTGGATCTAATATTGAGTTTGATTGATTATCACCAATATATAAACTTTGTATATTTGGTAATGATAATTCCATAGAGTTATGATTTAAAGGTATAGTGAATGTTTGAAAATTTGTTAGCCTTAATGCTTTTAGAGTGGTTGAAACTGGTTCTAAAAATCTCTTGAAAAAATCTGGTGTATTGTGAATAATTTGTAAATTTGATGTTGGAGTAAATACTAAATTCTCTAGAACTGGAAAGCCATCACCATCAGATAGTGAAAATGGATAGAAATCTGGTATGGTTAATGATTTGAGCTTTAATAAATTTCGAGGTAGTTTAAATTTCCAACCACCGCCCATAATAAGTGTTTCTAAATTTGCAGGCAAAACATTTTCCCCAAACTCTATATTGTAGCTCCTGCCCATATTTAAATGGGTTAGGCTTTTTGGTAGAGAATTTGGGTGTATTTCTGAGTTGAAGCCATCACTTAATATCAGAGTAGTTAGACCCATCCAGCTTAGTTGATCGGGTTGAATTTGATTATTGAAAGAACTTAACACCAACACCTTTAAACTACTAAATAAATTTTGAACACTGTAATCTTTTAATAGCAACTCTTTTTCATATCCCAAGTCTCCAAATAAACTCCTCCATTTCTTCAAATAAATATTATATTGAACCAATAATTGATCCAAGGTGAACAATGGTTGATTAAAAAAACTTACATCTAACTTCTCTAATCGTAATGGTGGTGGAATTTCCAAACCAAATATTGGACCCTTTATGATTTTAACGCTTGATGGAATTAATCGGAATGCATAAACATCATGTGAAATATTGAAACCAGACCCGAAAGCCAAGCTAGTAACTGTTGGAGATAATGAGTTGAAATCTATATTTTGAAGAGGTGTATGCTTCAATGATAAAGTTTTTAAATTTACCAAACTTTGTAAAATATGACTTTTCAAGAAGCATCCATGGATTGAACTGACTTTAAAACTTGTTAAACTGATTGGTAAAGAGTGAACCTGTTGAATTGGTTGCCTATAGGATACACCTAGTTTCAATGCAGTTAAACCCGATGGAAGGACCTGAGGATGAAGTTGACAATTAAATTCCGAGCCAAACTTTATAGACTTTAGAGAGGGTGGAAAGCAGTCAACTTCCAATGGTTTACCTCCATTATTAAACTTTGCGCCAAACATTATTGTTTCTAAATTGACAAGAGACGATAAACCCCCAGGTTGCAATATTTGATTGAATAATCTTCCAAACTTTAAATGCTTTAAAGACAAAGGAAAAGTGTTTGGTAAAATAGGTTTGTTGTAGTCACATCCCATAGAAATTGAAGTTAGAGATGATAAATTCTTGAAAGTTGATTCGCAATTTACCACTTTATTAAAATAAAATGAAAACTTTATACTACCAGTATTAATGGGTAATAAATCTTCTATTATGCCCTCTACATCTTGATTTTTGGCAAAAATAATTGATGTTAAAAAGTATCTATATTTATAATCACTTAACGACTCGATACTAAATCTAATATTTTTAAAAATATTAAATAATTTTAAGTTTGTAATTAAAATATTTCTGATATATTTATTGTGAAATGCTTTATAAAAAATAATATTAAATTCGTTATTATTATTATTATCTAGTTCATTATTATTATTTATTTGATTATTATTTATTTGATTATTTGTTGTGTTGTTATTCATTAAATGTGTGAAAGTAAATAATAAAAAAATACAAAAAAATTTTAAATTGAAAAAAAAAAAAAAAAATGAGAAATAAATTTAATTTGGGAATAATGAAGGAAATTTTGATTTTTATTATTTTTGTTTTATTTGGTTGATTTTTAAATTAAATTGGTTTTTTATTATATTTTTTTTTTCTATACCAAATCAATCAAATAAAATAAAATAAAAGAAATAGAAATTGAGTATACATATACTACACATTTAATTGAAAAAATATTTTAAATATTAAAAAATAATAATTTATAATTTTAAAAAAAAAAAAAAATTTTAATTTATAAAAATTTTTTTTAAATATTAAAATTTTTTTTTTTTTTTTTTTATTTTTATTATTTTTTTTTTTTTTTTTGTATATATAACAATAAAATAGATAAATTTTTTTTTTTTTTTAATAATTCATTGAATATTAAAAAAATATATAAACATAAAATTTATTCCAAGTTCTATTTGGTTTTAATTTTATAATTCACAAATAATTTAAATAAAACCTTTCATATTCTTTTTAAATCACAATAAACTTATAAAATTATATATATATATAAATAAATATATATTAGACTTTTAATTATTATTATTATTATAGTTTAAAATAAAATGGAAGGTGTTGTAAAAACCTCTATTTTAACAGCGATTAGTGCAATAACTGTATATGCTGGATTATTTTATTACCTAAATAATGATGAGGAAAAAGAAAAGAACCGACGAGAACAACAGAACTCACAACAACAACAACAGAACCACTTAAAATCGAAAAAGAAAAATAAAAACAATAGCAAAAATAATAATAAAAGCAATAATAACAATACTATAAAACCGAATAGGAATACCACAACAACCACGACCACGACCACGACGACACCTACATCAAAACGATCTAATATATATAGTGGCAGCTCAAGTAGTAGCTCAAGCAGTAGCAGCAGTGGATTGGGAATACCATATGGCACTAGTAGCAGCGAAGAAATTGCAACATTGGACGACTCGGACCCAGACCATGAAATTTCAACATCTTCAAGCTCCGAAACTGATTTCCTTCAAAATTCTCCAAGGACAGTTCAAGATCATTTAAGAATATTAAGATCTGATGATTTATCAAATCAAATGGTTATTAAAAAATTAGATTCAGTCCATGTTCTTTCATCAGTTGTTTCTTATTGTAAATACCGAGTTTATTCTATAAATTTATATTTATTCTCATTTACTTATTTTATCTTTTACTATAGCCGAAAGTTTAGCATTATTATCCAATTTAAATAGTATTTCAGTTGTTGTCAACTCATTAAACTCACTATTAGCATTAGAAATGATCAGTAAAAATCAAAATACATTAATGATTAAACTTGGTTTACTTTTAGGAAATTTATTACAATACCCAGAAAATCAAAAGAAAATTATTGAAACCCGTTTTATCTCCACACTTGTAAATTTAATTAATGATGATGATGCTGAAAGAGCTGATTTTTCATTATTCTCTTTATTTAATTTATCACAAAATGGTATGTTTTTAATAGTAGTTTTAATTGGAACTTTTAAAATAATAATTCTTACTAACATATGTCTATTATTATTATTATTATTATTACAGAGGAATGTGGTACAGAAATTATATTATCACAAGGTATTAAAGAAGTTATAACATTATTAGAATCAAAAAAAGCCACAAACTCATTAAAAAAACAAGCATTACAAATTATTTTAAATATGTACCTAGAATCTGAAAGTAAGTATTTTTAATAAATATTTCTTGTTTTTTTTATAAAAAAATAATTAACCCAAATTATTTCAAATAAATTTAGATTTAAGATCAATGATTTCTTCAGAAAATGAACAATTAATTGGTGTCTTAAAATACATTATTGCAAATAATTCCAAAAGCGATTTTTCCGAACTTGCTTCAAAAATTTTAAATATGAATTATGAACACCAAAAATATATTAACGATAATTATAGCCAAAATTATAGTGATGAAGAAGAAGAGGATGAAGATGAAGATGAATAAAAAGATACAACTAGTTAATAATTAATAATAATAATAATAATAATAATAATAATAATAATAATAATAATAATAATAATAATAATAATAGAGATAAAAATAAATAGTAGTTTATCATCATCTCATAATATAGAATATAAAAAATTAAAAAAAAAATTATAAAATAAAAATAAAAATAAAAATAAAATATACCACTAAACGTCACATATATTTTAGTTTAAACCAAAATATTTATTGTTTATTATTGTGTGTATAATTTTTTTTTTATTTTTTTTTTATTTTTTTTTAATTTAAAAATTTTATTATTTTTCATTTTTTTATATTTTTTTTTTGTTTTTATATTAATTATTTATTTTATGATACAGGTATTATATTATGAAAGCTCTAAATATGTGGGATAAAATTATTAAAGTTTCAGAAAGAGCAACGACATTGGGATCAATAGAAAAAATTGAATCAACACCGATGATAATTAACGAAAATGGTGTAAATGTATGTAAAGATTAATGAATTAAATTTTAAAATGAAAAAAGATACTAACCTATTTATTGTATCGTATAGTTTGTAGTCAGTGTTGCGAAATCATTATTAAAAAGACCTTTTAACTACCCCAAACCAAATACAGATAATAATAATAATAACAGTTGTAATATATCAAACGAAAGTAGTATAATCAATAATAATAACAATAATAATAATAATAATAATATAAATAATACACAAAAAACAGAAACTACACCAAAAAAAAAGTTTATAGATCCATTTTTACCCTGCGATAAAGATTTATTTGTGCAAGAACTGTACGATAGACATAATTTAGTACTAAATAAATATAATGTTTCAAACTATCACTCTATTATTGCAACAAAGGAATTTGAAAATCAAACAGATCCACTAAATGAATTTGATTTTAAAGCAATGTAAGATTTTGGTTATATTAATGGTATTTTTGATATTGGATATTAATTCAATTACTATTATTATTATTAATTATATAGTTGGAAATGTATAAGAGAATGTAATATGTTATGTTTTTTCAATTGTGGTCCAAACAGCGGTGCAAGTCAACCACACAAACATGTTCAACTTTTAACTACTCCATTCGTTGCCGAAGAACCACACTTAAAATGTCCTATGGAATCTTTGTTTTTAAAATATAAGGATCAATATGAAACCATTGTACAAATAGATCAGCTACCATTTAAAACTGCAGCAATTTATTATGACCCAAAAAAGATAGAACAATTTGAAAAATTAGAATTTAACAATAATCAACAAAACTCTTATGAACTTTCAAACTATTTAAAAAATCAATATAACTCTTTACTAAACCATTTAGATCTAAATAACGACGATAGCAACACACCATCCAAAACTATCAATAGCATCGATGAAATAGTCAACAATCAATCCAGTATGGAAGAACAATGTAAATTAAAAAGCTATAATTTTATAATGACCAAAGATTGGATGTTCATAGTACCAAGGAAAAACTATCAATCCAACGGCATCTCGATCAACAGCGTTGGCTTTACCGGTGCAGTGTTAGTCAGAAAAGATGAGGAGCTGGAAACCCTTAAATCAAAAGGCATTATAAGCATATTAAAAGATGTATCTTTTCCAACCAACCAATAAATAAAAATACTAGTTTTAATTAATTAAATAAATTAAAATAATAAAAAATAGTCTATTTTGTTTTTGTTTTATAAATTAATAAATAAAGTATTATTTACAATATTAAAATATTTATATATATATCGGTACATGTATTTTATATATAAATAATCTTTATTTATTTTTTTATTTCTATTCTGCTTGGACTATTACTGAGACGTGTGGCAGCAGTATGTAGGTGGTTGCTAAATAAATATATAATATGTTTGTTCTGTTATGATCTATATAGTGTGACATTATCCTATTGAATAAATAATTCTGGCCCTATTGACAGGTCATATAAATATTTTGGTACCAAAGCTATAATATTTTGATAGAAAAATGGAGGGGTTATCAATATAGATCTCTTTGAGGATATCTCTTAGTTCGTTTGATTTCGTAAATTGGAATTCTTGCAAAAGAGTACTATTGGTTATAATTCTATTGGGGTGATCCTTGATGTAATCTATTAACTCTAAACAAGTGGCAACTACATGTCTACAAGGTGATGTAAATTCGTATTCTAGACAAGAGCACAGTGATTTCTTTATTAAACCGTCATTTTTAAATTCAACCATTACCCTATTTTTGGTTTGTTCATTGACTTTGGACTTTACTAAATATTTACCAACAAATTCCAATTGAATCAATCCATTATTATAATTCTCTTTGCCTATTTTATAAATTATATCGTTTCCAATGTATTGCGAGATTTGGTCTCTGTTTAACTCTTCCATTATTATTATTATTACAATTACGAATGTGTATGATGAACTTATTACGATGTTCGTTTGATTATTATAATTTATTGTGAATAAACGATTTGAACAAATAATTAAAAACAATTATATAAAAAAAATAGATAATAAATATAAAATAAATAAATTTAATTTTTGATAATTATATGTAGTAAAAATATTTTTAAAAATTTAAATATTTAATTTATACCTAAATTTTTAATAATATAATTAAAAATAAAAATAATAATATTGTTTTTTAATAAAATTTAATGAAAATGATAAATTATAATTATTATTATTTATTAATTATAATAATATTGTTTGTGTTAAGTTTGTGTTTTTTTATTTATATTTAATGTTATTGTTATTGTTTAATTTTTCTTATTGTTATTTTTAAAAAAAAAAAAAAAGAAAAAAAATTGAGTAAAATGAAAATAAATAATATGAAAAATTATAATTTTAACAGATAAAAAAATAAAAATAAAAATTTAAATTATTATTGTGTTTTTTAAAAAAAAAATAAAAATTGTGATAATTATAGATAAAGATATTATATTATCTATTTTTAAAAAATTATGATTTTAATTTAAAACTAAACAAAGAAATTATAAAAAACAAAACAAAAAAGAAATAAACAAATATTTTAAAAGTTAAAATAAAATAATGTTTTATAAGAAAAAAAAATAAAAAAAAACAATTCTGAATGTATATGCGAGTGTCTTTGCGTGCTTGAATTTGTGTGTTTATATTATTATACAAATATATTATATATATAAATAAATAGGAATATGAAAGAGATAAACTTTAATAAAATTGCATTTGAATGATCGGTTTATATATTTCCCAATGATACTGTTATATTTTATAAATAATTTAAAAATAATTTTCAATAATATTTAAATAAAAAAAAAAAGTAATAAAAAAAAAAAAATGAAATTTATTTAAATAATCTGGAAAAAAAATAATTATGTTTATTTTATTTTAATGCTTGTGTTTCTTTTTTATTGAAATGAGCACCCACATTTAAAAATTTACACACACTTAATGTGAATAAACACACCCACCACAATAAATGTGGTAATGAAAATAAAAGTTTTTATATGATAAATACCACATTCACCCCCAACACACACACATAATGAAAATATGGGAACAAATAAAAACACTCCAAACACCCTAAACACACCCACTCTCCACACTATTATACACAATAAAAACTATAAAGTTTTGTCAACTTATTTATTATTATAGAGTTCTTCTTTTGATTTTAAATTTACAATTATTTTTAATTCTTTTTGATTAGTGTGGAATGTTTTGTTGTTGTTGTTGTTGTTGTTGTTATTGTATAAAACAATTATTTATAATGAATCGATTAAAACTATTCTATTTTTAGATTGTTCGACAAACTACAATTC